TATGTATGTATGTATGTATGTATGTATGTATGTATGTATGTATATATATATATATATATATATATATATATATATATACACACACACATACATTAAAATGTTTTTGTTTGATACCTATTGTCAAGTAATGCTGTTTTATGGTGGAAAAACAACAGCAGGTGTAATAGCTATTCTCCACAGCAACTCTGATGCTGTATTCCAGTGCAGATGAAGCTTGGCCTCATTTTGAAAAAAGCCTCAATGCTTTTTTGCATTGTGAAAATCCTTTTTTGCTTCTATGGAATTTCCTGAGTATTTGCTTCTTAAATATAATTGCATGAAAACAAAAATGGCTGATTTAAATGTTTCAATAATTCAAAACTGCTTATTCAGTTCAGATGGTGCCATTCATGGTCACTTCAGTTGTACTCTTCTCATGGTGCCTGATTTTTGCAGTCTGAGGTCTTTCACATTTCTCTGGGCCCTTCAAGTTTTACTCCTTTGCACTGATCTCTCCCCCCCTCCCATCCTTTGGGTGGTCAAACAGCTGTCAGCTTGTTGATGTCAAAAATAATATTTAGCACAAAATTTAAATGGAGAAGTATTTTACTGTCCTTTAAAGTGTCCTTTGTTTGTCTCTTTGTTCTTTTTTCTATCAATTGTATCTTAAAGAAAAGCCTTTTTTATAGTGTTGCTCATTCAGAACGGTTGACCTTAAAAAATCCAATTCAAAAGTCAGCATATTTTCCTTTTGGCTCCATCTTGTGGCTGTTTGGACAGTTCCAGATCTGATCTTGCTTGTAAACCTGGGTTTATAGGATTACCAAAGAGTTCATGTTACTGTAGCGTTCAAAGCTTCCTCAACTAGGTGCCCTTTTTATGTTGCCCTTTTTCATTCCCAGCCAGCAATAATTAGTTGACAGTGTTAAACATTGACAGTGGGCTCATACAACCTTAGGTTAAACACATTTGTAGAAAGAACATGTCATGTCAAAAGCATGGTTCGCACATTTATCAGATGGTGATGCTTGTCACATGGTGGAGAACTAGGCATATGCACCACCTTCTTCTTACAGTACATACTAGAATATTGGGGGAGGCCATTCCACTTCCAAACCAACATGTATATGGCCTGCCCCCACCTTTTTTTTAAAAGCAGTGACCAGGAGATCCATGGCTCTGATTTCCACTTCAGAGAAGAATGTGTATCCCCTCAGTGGGAAGGAAACTGAGCCCATCCTGATGTGCTATCCAGTGCCAGCATAATTCCTTCCCACATCTATGCTCCAAAAGAAGTGGGCAGGTGAAAGGAGTGGCTCAACCTGCTGCTTGGTGCTATGGCAGCTACCCACTAACTTGCTCAAGTGAGCAAGACATAATGCCCATCTGCCTATTGTCTCAGGTTGACTTTATTTTATGTAGTGTATGGTGTATAATGTAAGGAAATCTACACATGCTAGACAAACAATGCAGTCGTGATAGGCTAGAATACTAGTTCAGCACTTGTGCACCTCTTTTTGGTGCACCACGGGGAGTGAACTAGCTTTTCACCAGATAACTAGTGGCACTCAGGTTGTTGGCTTTTCCAGACTCCTCCACCCGTGTCACCTTGCCTCGTCTTGTGTCACAATGCCTCACATCCAGCCAGATCCAGCACTGGCTTCCTGCTCTCTGCACACATGAACGCAGCTTGGTTTTCCCCACCAAAGTGGTGCCCATTTATCTACTCACAATATTGCATACTCAGATTGACTACCTCTCCTGGTCTGCATTGTGGCATCCTTGCTTCTTTGGATCACTGAGAGATTCAGCAAAGAGTAGCAGTTTTGCTTCTCACCTATTTGTTTTTCTTGTGCAAAGAAGAGAAGATAACCATTGACCTTGTTTTGACAACTAGATCTAGGGAAATCTGCAGACATATTCTTCTTCCCTATCACCTTAGCTTGTCAGTGGATCTTCATCCAGATTGTCTCCATTCACACATGCTTGATGGACAAATGTTTGGAAGGGTATTGCTTCACCACCAATCAGGAGAATCAACCTAGATATTAATGAAGTCTATCTTTATCCCTTAAGGTACCATTTTCAAACTGCAGCAGAGACTGCCTTCCAGGTACAAGGAAAGGTATCATTGAGGGGGAGCCCACCTGCTGCTTTGAATGTGTTGAATGCACAGATGGAGAGATCAGTGATGAAACAGGTATGATATGATTCTGAAGAAAAAAGCAGCCCCCTCCTCTATTAGAAACATTTATGCAAATGGGCTCAGAATTCATTTTTGGAAGTCACCATTGATAGCGACACACTGTTACAATGTGTTAATGAATTACTAACCACTTCCATTGCTCCAGCCAGTTAGTATATTTACAGATTAGCAGTGGAGTTTGTCCCAGAAGAGAATACAAGTTGGAACAGTGTTGGTTTGGGAGAAAAGCAACAGAACAGAAATGTGCTAAAAATGATTAACTGGTCTTTGGGTTTAAGAGTTGGCTCTGTATTCTGAATATAATTCCATACACAATTCCTGGGGGCTGTACTGTGTATTAAAGAATCATGAGGTAATTTCTGAGTCAGGGAGGAATGCTAATGAACTCAATTAAACTGAAGGAGACATTAGCCACAACTGACTCTTTTCCTCCCACTTCTTCTGCCAAAACACAATCCCTTAGGAAACTTCCATCCTGTTTTTTTTTTCTGAAGCTAGATGGAACATACTTTCTTTACTTTCTTTGTAAATGAACCAAATTAAGGATTAAAGGATGTACAAACCATAGGGTTTTTTTTAACCACCTCCTAGGAGTTTCTCCTCTACAAAACTTGTGGAAAATAAAAAGTCTGAGCAAGAATAGAGCTATGGTATTTTGGCAGTATTGCATGTAGATGGTCTTTGGTCCTCTTGACAGAGATGCCACTAAGTGCAGTTCCTGGTCAGTTATCTTCTTTTAAGCAAGGATGTTTTGTCTTTTCCAGATGCCAGCGCTTGTGAGAAATGTGCTGAAAACTTCTGGTCCAATGAAAACCATACCTTCTGCATTCCCAAACAAATAGAATTTTTGTCCTGGACAGAACCATTTGGAATTGCTCTCACGCTTTTTGCTGTACTAGGTGTCTTCTTAACTTCATTTGTCCTGGGAGTCTTTACCAGATTTCGCAACACGCCCATTGTCAAGGCCACAAACCGTGAGCTCTCTTATCTCCTCCTGTTTTCCTTGCTCTGTTGCTTTTCCAGCTCCCTTTTCTTCATTGGTGAGCCTCAAGATTGGAATTGCCGCTTACGACAACCAGCCTTTGGTATCAGCTTTGTACTCTGCATCTCCTGCATTCTGGTGAAGACCAATCGTGTCCTTCTGGTCTTTGAGGCTAAGATACCAACAAGCCTCCATCGCAAGTGGTGGGGACTTAACCTTCAATTCCTCTTGGTCTTCTTATGCACATTTGTGCAAATTGTCATCTGCGTCATCTGGCTTTATACAGCTCCCCCTTCTAGTTTCCGTAATCATGAAATGGAGGATGAAATCATCTTTATCACTTGTAATGAGGGCTCTTTGATGGCACTGGGCTTCCTAATTGGTTATACTTGTCTTCTGGCTGCTATCTGCTTCTTCTTTGCTTTCAAATCCCGCAAACTGCCAGAGAACTTCAACGAAGCCAAATTCATCACCTTCAGTATGTTGATTTTTTTCATTGTTTGGATCTCTTTTATACCAGCCTATGCCAGCACCTATGGCAAATTTGTCTCAGCAGTGGAGGTAATTGCCATTCTGGCAGCCAGCTTTGGGCTTTTAGCATGCATCTTCTTCAACAAGGTCTACATTATCCTCTTTAAGCCCTCCCGCAACACCATTGAGGAAGTACGCTGCAGCACGGCTGCTCATGCTTTCAAAGTGGCAGCCAGAGCTACACTGAGACGCAGCAATGTGTCCCGCAAGAGGTCCAATAGTCTGGGGGGCTCCTCAGGCTCTACCCCATCCTCATCCATTAGCAGCAAAAGCAACCACGAGGAGCCCTTTTCGATACCAACATCTGTAGAACCACAGCAAAAACATGGGTGCAAGCAGAAGGTAAGTTTTGGTGGTGGAACTGTCACCTTGTCACTAAGCTTTGAGGAGCATCAGAAAAATGCTATAGCCAATAAAAATGCAAAGCACAGAAACTCCTTGGAAGCCCGCAATAGTGATGATAGTCTCATGCGACACAAAGCCCTACTTCCTCTGCATGGCAATGAATCACTGGAGCCCAAATTCCAGATTCCCTCAAATCAAGAATCCAGCATCCCAGAATCAGTAGTGGGAGAAACCAAGCAAGGAGAACATGTAGAAGGGCCACCTTCTTTGTCAGCTGCATACCTGCGGGATTTAGTAGGCAGTGGCTCCATCAAAGAGAATGCCATCCATTCATAATCAAAGGAAAAGAACCGATTATTGAGCAATTTTCTTCTGGATGGAGAGAAGAATTGAACACATCTCTAATTCCTCTGTTAGACTCAGCAAGTTATATCCACTTTCAAAGGAAAGCTGAAACAGTTCCTTAGCATGTCTTTAGCTATCCTTTTAGTGCAACCGCCTATGGTTGTGGAAGATGCAAGAAAGAAAACTTTGGAGGGACAAGAAAGTATCTTTCCCAGCTGTCCTATAGACGAACTTTTTTTCTTATTCTCCTTTCTACCACTGCAGAGGTCCAAGTCACCAACTTACGAGCGTGTCAAAGGTTCCATTAACATGCTCTGCTTTTACATCAATGTACATTATCCCTTTTCTTCCATGTATATATTATTTCCCCTTTATATGTAAAACTGCTTAGCAACTTTACAACAAGATGAAACTTACTGCTTTACATAAAACAAGTCACACGGTTTGCTTTAGAAATATTCTCCAGTACCCATGGAAGCATGTTAAATAATGTTCAGCCAGTAGCTTGAACTTGTAAAGTATTTAAAATTATAAACAGTGATATTTTAACACATAAAGCCATAGCAGATGCTTCATATCTAAAAAGTAGAATTCTGTGGTCCTCAGAGACATCACCCTGTTATCCAGTGCTATTGTCCTGGAGACTGACGTAGAAAATCCAAATTTAATTCACCTTGAAGGCAGAGTAAGGGAAGAGAAGCCGTATTCCTAGGGCAGTTTCTCAACCTTGGCAATTTTAAGATGTTCAGCCTTCAACTTCTAGAATTCCCCAGCCAACTGAAGTTCACATATCTTAAAATTGCCAAGATTGAGAAACATTGTCATAGAGAAAGTACAGAAATACAGAGAGTGAAAATGTGTCCTTTTTTTCTTGTCAGCCTTGGATGGTATCTCTACCCTTAGCAGGCCTTTTGTGCATCAAAAGAGCTTCAAATGGAGAAGAGCAGATCTAAGAAGTTGTGTCCCCCACAAATTAGGAAAAAATATATCCAAAAGTTTAGGAAATAAGAGCATAGCACACAGCAGCACAACAAGGACAATTGTTGAGATAACCAGATTCTGTTATGAACCAGGGTATAGAACCAGAACCAGATTCAATTATGAAGTAAGCTAGTTCAATATAATATAGTTATGTTTTCAAAATGTATCAATTGAATCATACTTCAATAGAAAAAATATGCAGTTAGTTTAACCTTGTTCTGTGACTTTAGAAATTTTTTTAATGGGCAAATAAATGGCAGGTATAGTTAAATGTTAGGTTTTGCCACATGTGGAATGAATGTCAGAGATTGGTCACTCTAATGTCTGCAATTCCTGTACTTTAAAATGTGTTTTACAGACCGAAGTTGCCAGGCTGAGTTCCATAAGCTCCTATTCATACAGAAAGAACTGAGCAAGAAGCCAGAAGTAAAATTAAGTCTGATTGTAATGAGTTCTGATTGAATCTTCCGCTGGACCTGTATTTGCATAGCATAAGAGGGGGGCCTCTTTTTCTAAAAGTTCTACAGATTAATCACTTCACATTTTCCCACATACTGGAAATATTTCTATGTATCCATATAAATGATGCAAAATTGTGTGTACATTGACAAATGCAATGGAAAACTCCCATTTGAGCTATGAGAGCATATTGAAGAGTGGCTGGGTTAGTGCAGTATGCTAAAGTAGGCATGCACCAAGATCTGGGCTGCAGGTGCAAGGACTGCTGGTAGCTGGCATCAGATTCAGAGAACTAACTTCTTCAAGGAGCATCTGGATGTTTGACGTCAGGTGTAGTATGTCTATGCTAAGCCCAAGTCAATTGCATTTTAGCTTAGTATGATGTGCAAATTCTGCCCAATTGCACTATATTTAATTAACCCCAATGAATCAAGTCATGGGTCAATGCAATATGCAGCCTTCTTAACCTGATTATCGTAGATTGCAAGCAGTTGCTGAAGTGAATCAATTGTTTGAGGGGGAAATGTAGATACTTCTCTGTTTTTAATGCCTTTTTATGGAGTATACTCTAGTGCTTTGGAATTAACTATTTATTCAGGGGTGAATGGGAGGTAATTTAGGATCTACTGAACGGTGGTGGGTGATTTGTAGTAGATTGGCAGGGATTTCTGGCTTCCATTCATTGAACAAGATTCACCAGAGAATGACTGCTCCTTCCCCAAAAATGAGAGAGCTAAAGTGAAACCACTTGGACAAACCATGAAACGATTTTTGCATAGACTATAGATGAGCTCTCTCTCAGTTATGGTACTCCAAACAAATTTCTGTGCTTGCTCAGCAGCTGCTTAGATGTCCCATGTTTGTGTGTATATACACATGCACAACAAGAAGAAAAACATTAACCAGATGCAAAAATTAAAAGGAAATAGGGGAAAAAACCAAACACATACAAACCAGAAAGGCATATTAGACTAAATGTACAGTATAACAAAAAAGCCCAATCCTTAAACAGCAAAACAACCTTGACCTATTATTATTTATTGGACTTTCCACACATAAGTAGAAGACCTGTTCATATGTAGAAGGAAAACATATAACTATATCCAAAGTTTTATTACTTTATCCAGGACTATTATTAATACTATGGCTTCTGTTTGGGAATAACAAGAAACTAATAAGTATACATTTGGATTTAAGTCACTACTTAACTTACATCTGACATAGTTATTTGAGACAGATGGTCCATCAGGAACTAATGTTTTAATACCTTTGTACAAAGATATTACCTTGGATGTAAAAGGTAGATATATTTCTCTGTGATTGCTTCAATGACAATAAGAAATTTGTAGTGGCTCTCCAGTAAGAATGCTGGTGAATAGAAGAAACTTAACATGGACCTGATTAACTCCCAAAATCTTATCATCCTGCATACTAGTGGTGGGATTCAGCCAGTTCGCACCTATTCAGGAGAACCAGTTGGTAACTTTCTAAGTAGTTCGGAGAACCGATTGTTGGAAGAAATCTCCTTTTGCTTTTTTCCACTTTACAGGGCTAATCCTGTAAGGAAGGCAGGAAGGAAACATTCTGGTGTTGTTTCTAGCCCACTCAACCTGAGTGACATTGTCTTGGCCATGACCACATAATCACATGACCACCGAGTCCCGCCTACCCAGCTGGTCATTAGGGCAGAGAACTGATTGGTAAATTATTTGAATTCCACCACTGCTGCATACCAAAAGCTGTTCTTAAAAGTCTTGAAATCCAGTCAACTGGATTTTTTCATCAAATCTAATTTAATCCTGAAGTGGCAGATTTTGAGGGAAAATAAAATTTAGGTTACGATTTGGGGAGTCTTAACAAAAGAAAACAATACAAAATGGCTTTCAGTGTTATGTATATGGTAGTTAAAGTGCCCCTGGATTACGGTATTTCAAATTTCAATGCATTCTGAAGACAGTAAATAATTGATGTGAGCTATAATCAACACAGTTATACTCTTTTCCCCTGAAATTTTCAAAATTCTTGTAAATATAAGCCTGGATGATGCAGACCTTACACCTCATATTGAGGCTAAAGAAAGTCATAAAATTAAACCTGTCTGTCCCAAATAGCTTAATACGTAACAAGAATTTAATATATCCTTACCAGAGCATTAAGGATTTTATTATTAAGATTATTTTGTATGGAAAGGGTCTGAAAAACCATACCTTTTATCTGCTAGAAACCTCAGGGGATTTTTATTTCTAAGCTCACTGATGCTGGGTTTTTTTTTTCAGACAAAGAAATCTACATTCAGATTGAGTGGTTTATTTAGGGCAGAATGGTTTCCACGTGCTAGTCCTGAACTAGTCCTGGAAGCCTTTCATATTAGTCAACAGCCATCTCTCCAACATGCATTAGAAAGCTTCCTTTGCTGTAATTCCACACAGCAAGTAAAGGTTGCCCTGGTTTGGTTCAAAATAAACAATAGGAATCCTAAGGCTGAAGACAGAAAAGTCATTTCATGTGGCTTTAAAATCTTAAAATATTCTTGTGACTTTAAAGTTGATTGAATCAAAGTAGATTGGTACCATTTGGGTTCTTCAACCAACTGTTTATGCTTGGTCATAAGGTGGATTGAGTACCCTATTTTCTTCATTGGATGTTAGACTCACACATATACATATATACACAGAAGTACACATACCTGCTTGTTAGATGTACTGTATTATATGTTTCAGATTTTATTCAGGAGCTCAAGATGTATACATATTTCAGCTTCAATTCTACCCTCACTGTCCTCCCACGAGAAAACTTAACCGGCGGGGTGGGGGGGGAGTGTATGGTACTCTGTGAGGCTGATGATAGGACATTTGGTCTTAGAGTCATCCCAGTTCTATTCCAGGGCTCCAAGTTTGGAGAGCTTGGAGGTTTCCACTAGGAAAGCCACTAAGAAAAATACAGAGACCATGCCCCAAATGGCACTAATCAGTTATATATGTTAGCCATGCTCCATATATCTCCTGAATATCTTAATTACTTTCTAGTTATTTAAAAATAGTCTTGCAAGCTGTAAGGATGATAAAAGTAATTTACAACAAGTCATAGTTTCTTTCTTGTGAGTGGTGGTCATACTTTTGTCACTGGGGAGAAAAACAGGCCAAATGCAGGTTTTCTTCCTGAACTCCTTCATGGGTAAATTTCTTTGTGAAGAAGTTGGGGGAGGTCACCATTCATCAGGGTAGTTATGAACCTTCCAAACTTGTCTAACCTAGTTAACATTCATTGATATCTTCATCTGTTTCTACCAAGTCACACTGCTGAAAACATTGTGTTGGTTGAACAGGAACTGAGTTTCATATCTAACAAATGCCGTTTACCCACTGGCATCATACTAAATGATTTGTTTGCTTCCCCCACTTGCATTTGGTGCAAATACCTTGAGCAATAATTTCTGTCTGCATGCCACTTTGCTGCACCTTCATAACAACACTAGTGATAATAGTTAATTACTAAGGTCTAAGCTAGACATAACATTTTAAAAGGAATTAAAAATAAGTTTAGTCAATTAAGCTGCTTCTAACAATGTATATTAAAACAAAAATAGTTTCCTTAGTTCTTAAAAAATTGAATAGTTTCCCTTTGATCATATCAAAGATTTATCTAAGCCACAATCCTGTTTCTCAGAGCTATCCCACAAATGCTTCTAAAAGCTAAGTATGAAAACAATATTCTATTGTTGCTTCTCTCCAGCATAAGCAGTCTGATTCACATTTTCTACAATAATCACATGAAATGGCTGTTAAAAATGTCTTTATGTAACTGTCTGCTCCCCTTTTAAAGTCATTTGCACACATGGCCATCGTATCTTCAAATATTTTCATACATTTTAACATGTATTCTAATTTCATGTTAAAACCTATATGGCTTTGCCATGAATGCATTCCCTCCCATTCCTTGGTCTCATCCTGAGTTCTAAAGTAAGAAAAGGAGTGATTTCTCTCTCGCCTTGTGCTCATTACTGAATCTCACTTCATTTGTTCTCTAAAACAAAGCTAAAAAGGGCAGCTTTGGAAGCATTGCGCACAGACAATGGGAGTACTCCAATGTGAAAAGAAATTTAAGAAATAATACAGATTTTATAGGCAGCCAAAAGTTCAATAACTCTTCTAATTTTCAAAGGTAGTACGAGGACTGAATAATAAAAAATAAATAAACCACTTCTGGGCATCACTGTAGGTTATAAATTTACCAACACCTTGCAACTGCACACACACACACACTTAAAAGGGAAAGCAGTAGCTGAAGTGCAGCACACATCACCCCAGAGATGTCAGAATAGGCAGCCTTAACTATACCAGCTTTATTTCTACACAATGGCTCAATCATTCCCTTCACTCTTTTCTCTGGGCCATATAAAATGAGCTGTTTAAAATAAAAAAAAGGTCAATAGCATAAGCAGCTGTAGGCTTCTGCAGCCAGCACTTGACCTTACACCACTAGCTCTTTATCTTTTTTTGTAATATACCACAACGTTTCACTACTGGTTGTTTAAAGGGATGCCAAGTCTATTCTTGTATGTTACAGTTAATATTTGTATTGCTTGTAATGTTTATACCGTATGGCTGTGCATGTCCTCAAATCAAAGAGTACGGTTGCCTCCTGAATTTTGCAGATGTAAGATAAGCTGATAATGTGTGTCTTTTGGAGAGCTAAATAAAAGAGGACATGTCCCAGCATTTTAAGACTCTTTTTTTAAAAAACTTGCCCTTGCCCCCAAATCCTTCCAAATTAAATCATTCAGAATTACCTGTTAGAAACATGGCTAAAACTCATCCTAGAAACAAAACAGGAAACTACAACTAATATTAAGCATAAACCATTTAATGGAGGAGGGAGGGAAACCCTCAAAATTAAGGGGAAAAGCAGCTTCACTGATAAATGTTCGAGAGTTTGAAATAGGACCGCTTTACATATAATTGTTAATTGTTAATGCCTGAAGGAGTCAGTGTGCATCCTCTCAACTGTGTAATAAGAAAATCAGCATCGTGCAACTCTGTATCTATTCTACTATTAAAATGTTGGTGGGAGGGTCAGAAAAGGAAGCATTCAGCATCCTCCTCTTGCTGGTCCCTGCCCAGAGTCAATAAAAATAGATAGGAAGCTGAATGATGTATTTTAGATACTGTCTGAATTTATTCATCATGCAAAGTCATAAATCAAAGGAAAAAGAAGGCCAAGATGAAAGATAACCCAGTGGCCTTTTTCATTTTGAGGTCTGGAAAAATCCTCTACAATTATTTCTTTAATCACCGTTTCTTGAGCTTTATTCCCCTTTTAAAGGAGACCTCGATAGAATAAAATGTATGACGAAAGCTCTGAAAACACTGATTTTATAAAGAGTTCCAAATGAATACCTTCCAATCTCCCCTAAATGACCTTAGGCCTTAGCAACTCATAGCTTTCACCACCTGTAAATGAGTATTAATATGGTTCGCCTAAACCTGAGAATGACTGAGGAGGCCAATTATGGCAGACATGAGTGAAACTCCTCAGAAACGTAGCTCAAAGTTGTACAAAAAGAGTGAATTATAATAGAAAGGGAGATTTTTTTAAAAAAATATATATATGCAAGTTAACAGTGATAGTGGTTAGATGGTGGTCCCTGATGTCCCTGATGTTTTCTTGCAAACAATGGACAAAATGAAAACCTGACAGCTTAATTTGGCAGGTTTTATTCTTTCACTTTCTATTATACAAAATACTTTACAATTTAAAAACATTTTCCCAACAAAAATCATATACATATATTTATAAAGAGCCAATTACACCAAAGGGAAAAGCCTGATGAAAAGAGATAGCCCAACCACTTTATGGGGAACCGAAAAGGCAGAGGGGTAATTAAGAGAAAGTTCTTGGCCCACACTTTGCATTTCTGGTAACTGCCAAGTTTGCTGCTTCCCAGATACATTCTTGCTTTAATAAATACCCAGCTGCTCCTTTCCCATCTCTGGGGTGGTGACATCGGCTACGTTGCTACTTCATAAGCAGTGTTCATTCCCTTTCTGTTGTCTCTGTAAAATTAGCAGCACTTTTCAAGTCCAGAGTCCAAAATTCATATTTTGTTTCAACCTAACGAAACCATCTTAACCGGATGTGCAAAGAACATCAGCATAAATACTCTGCAAGAGATTTAGCAGGTAACACTAATGTCCGTCTTCAAGGGCCAGAATTCCTTTCCTTGTTATCACAGAGACTGACCTATAAGAAAAAAGCACACTACTTTTAAATCTGTGCCTAGAAGACACCGCTGAAGGGAAATCTAAATACTTTTCTGCTCAAGGGGCTTTTTTCCCCCCTTCCTAAACTAAATTTTGCAGGCTGGGACAGGCACACAGTAGGTACCATTCCTTGCTGGATTTGCATAGGATAAGGAAGCTTAATTTTACAGATCCAGCACAACATGTAAACCAGTGACCTGCCCTAAAAAGGAGACAGAAAATAGGTGTTTATGCTGTTTCCAAGGACAGCTTGAGAATTAAAAGGGAAGTGTCCCTGACTTGGCCATTTTTGTCTGTGTGGGAAGAGAAAGAAGGGACTAGTATGGGGGAGGGCTCCTCCTGCATTCACAAGGGAGCCCATCCAGGAGTCACTGCTGAAGAGCAAAAGCCTGTAGGAGGGTAGGAAGGTCGTGGGCATCTGCTGCTTGATAGAGGTTGCTGTGGCCCATCATGGAGAGGGCCATACGGAGGGTGCTCCAGATGTTGTCAGACATGGCTCCCTGTTGGCCCCGTGGCCCGCGACTCTTCTGCTGCATCTGCAAGGCTTCCAAGAAGTGTTCTATAGCCTCTCTGTCAAGACAAAGACAATGAAGGGAGTTAGAGGGAATCAAGAGTAGCTCACAATCAAGACATGGGGAAGAAGAGGGAGCAATTCTAAGGCTTTCTTTTCCCACACACCTTAGTCGTTCTTTGCTGATTTTGCCCACACAAATACTTAACTTTGGATCATTTTTTATTTGATTTTTACCGTCACCTTTCTTATTTTAAAGGTAACTCAAAGCAGTGAAAACAGCAAAGGCTCCTATTTACCCCACAACAACTACACTGTGTGGTGAGTTGAACTGAGTGTGTGTGATTGGCCCAAAATCATCCAGTCAGCTTTCACGCCTACAGCGGGCGCAGAGCTCAACATCTTTTGGGTTTTACGCCAGCACTTTAACTACTATCCTTAGTAAATAAATGAACATGTATGATGTTTTGACTTTTTTGCTTAATTGGGTTCTCTTGATCTACTTTTAGAACTTGGGTGGAAAACAGATCATGTTTTAGCTTGTATTTGTGCAGAAATATTGAAAGGGTCCGCAAACTTTTAAGCACCACAATAGATGAGACACACCAAAAGCCAGTGAATAAGACTTTTTGAAAGAGGAGGTGAAGTGAGTGAAGGCACTATGAGTCAACTGGGATGCCAATTTCTCCAGAATATTCTTTCAGAGTTGCCTGATCCACCGCTCATGTAATATCTCAAGTCTATGGTGGCCTCATCTAATCAAAAGCAGCAGTATAACCAACCTCAGCTTTAAAGCTACCCAACTCACCTATGGGCTCCTAAATTGATACAACTAATGCCTAGGTTGTAACGAGAACGTATATAGCCCGGCTGCAGTTCCAGCGCCTGCCGGTAAGCAGCTACAGCTTCCTCACTCCGGTTCCCGTTGGCTAAGGTGGCTCCCAACTTGTTCCAAAGGAGATGATCCTAGAAAGAAGGAACCAGGTTTGGTCAGACATGGTAGAACTTTTGTTTTTCCTCCCCTCCCCCCTCTGTCCCATTCTTCTCAAACTTTCAAGACTATTTGCTTAGTCTTGATCTTTATCTCACCGTGCTTTTCTATAGTCCTCCCTCCCATTTCCCCCTTCAATAACAATCCTGTGAAGCAGATTGGACTGACAGCGATTAAGTGTCTTAGTCATTCTACATTTCTCTCTTTCCCTTACAGCAGATAAAGATTGCAGGGGAAGTATGATAGCTAAGGGGTTGAGATAACAACCAAAAAACCCAGCTCTTGGCTCTGCCATAAGCTTATTGGTGGTGCAGGCAGAGACATCTCTCTGTCAGATTGAAGCCTCCCATCAGTCATGCCCATAGGAAACAGATTCACTTCCTTTGCAAGATTGCAGTAAAGGCTGCTTGGGAATGACAGAAGTGCTCTAGCTTTAGCATTCCTAAGTGCTTCTCTTAGTTTTTACTGAGATGGCTGTCGCATCGAGTGACCTGCACTTCGAAATCGATGGGTATTTTAGTATTTCCCCATTAATTTCCATTTCACTTTTGGTATGGAAGACTCTTAAGAAGCGACTCCTGCAGTCAGAAGCAGCCTGAAGCGAGAAAGCAATGCCACCTTCTCCTACTACCCCTTTTCCTCTCCCCCCCTGTGCCTTCCTTACATTTGGCCGTGAGCTCAGGGCAGCAGTGAAGCAATCCACAGCCTTCTCATACTCGCCACTCAGGTTGAAGAGAACACCCAGACCGCATTGCACATCAGGGTCCACCACATCGGTGTTGCTACGGACAGCTGCCAAGAACAATTCCTTCACCTCATGAAAAAGTGAGCTGAGGAAGGGAAGAACGAAGAGACCGATGTGGTAGGAAGGGCGACCGCCAGTCCCATCTTGCTTCCTTTGCCCAGTTCCCATTTATTGCTCATTCTGAGGACTCACTCAGTTAGGAGGGAACCCAGAACACGTTTGGAGGAGCCCAGACCTGGGCTAGATTTCTCCCCTTCGGGTTCTTTTCCCATCAGATGAGCGTAGGCCGGTTTGTGGTACAGCCAGTCGCGCAAGGTTTCACATGCCTGCTTCTGCAGCGATTCATTGGTGAAACTGACAGCTAAAGCCATGAGTGCAGTGAGGTTTCCGGGCTGCAACTCCAGGCACCTATAAGAAAACCATACAGTACGTCAGTGGTTCCCAAACTTGGCAACATTAAGACTTGTGGACTTCAACTCCCAGAATTCTCCAGCCAGCCGAGCTGGCTGGCGCATTCTAAGAGTTGAAGTCCACAAGTCTTAAAGCTGCCAAGTTTGGGAACCACTGACTTACTGTATGGTTTTCTTATAGGTGCCTGGAGTTGCAGCCCGGAAACCTCACTGCACTCATGGCTTTAGCTGTCAGTTTCACCAATGAATCGCTGCA